CAGTGGATTATCTTTTTCGACGTTTATTCCATAATTAGAATACTTGAGACAGCTGCCAATTAGTAGTCTGATTCTCCAACTATGCAGCATGCAGTATTTCTAGTTTTTTTGACCAGTGTTACCATCCCCTAGTAGTCGGCCTTTTCGCAATTCTGAAGTTCTTTTTGCTCATTAGCCCAGTGGTTCCCTCAACAGATGCATTCAGCAAAGCCCTTGATGTGTCTCGAAAATAATCAATCCATTCCAGATCAGGGCGAGGTAACTTAACGACCACAGAAATGCTAAGTTATAAAAATAAAAAAAGAGGACGGGGAGAATTTGCTCGTTTGTATTATCAAGTAAAAAAAAAAAGAACAAGCCTTAAAATAAGCGGAAGAAAACGAAGTGCAAGAAACATAAGTAATGGCTTTTCTTCTTACAGAATGAAAAACACATCTCGAAATAAGTGGAGTACCTTTTTCCATTTCTTCATCTTCTCTTTGTAAGTTAGTTTATCCTGTTGATCGACTCGTTCCATTTCACGTTTCGCTTCATTTACATCAAAAGTACCCAACCCTCCGTCTTCACTTCCAGGCATTCTGTCAGCAGCTGCAGTACCATGTTCCTGTAAAACAAAAGACAGCACTGAAATAACACCCATGAAAATTTAAGTAGTCTGGCTTGTGATTTATCGTCCACTTTTGGCACCTTGCAGCAATTCTAGACATGAAATAATGATTGTTCCAGATATTCCAGGTTAGAATTTTTGAGAAATATTTAGCGCTTTCAGCACTGCATAGATGGGATAGTGCATTGTTGCGAGACTCGTCAAACCGGCGCCAGTACTTTACCTCTACGTGCACAGTTTCAAACATCGCAAAAGACCGGCTCGAACGTCGAAATTACGGAAACTTAATCCCTAATAGTGTCAGCGATGAGCCCTTATAAAAAACCTTGTATCTTTTGGGAGTTAAACTATGGTTTCAAGCAAAATTGGGCCCAAATTTACAAAAAAATGCATTAAATTTGCATTTGAAATAGCCTAATTTTGCTCATATAAACAATTTTATGTCTACATGCTACCTAAATAATATACCGTTTCTTCTTCCAATCCATCATCGGTGAATACTTTTCGCACGTTCACTCTTACACCTTTTTTCAGGATTTTCTTTGCCTGCGCTTGTCTTGTTAGCGGTTTTCGCCTTTGCTTTCCTGTCGGATTTTCCAGTGCTGGTTCTTCAGTAATCTGAAAATGTACAGAAATCGTCAATTTACAAAACCACTGAGTCAAACAAACTAGAAGCGCGTTAATGATTGAACCGAACAGTATCAATGTATTAAACGCTGATGAGCAGGAGCTTTGATCATGCACCATATGTACCTGTGTCAGGCTTTTTATCTTTCAGTACAAATTCTGAGTTTGTGCCTGCTCACACTACCACTACTGTGAAACAGAATGATTAATCGAATGTACAGGAATATTTCGGTCCAATAAACTAAATACATTCTTATTCAGTGCCATAACTGGACCTCGTCAGTACAAAGGCTCAACAATATGCTATGTACGTCGGTTATAAACGGGCCCGAGCATGCTGTGGCCTTCGGTTTCTATTATCTTTCAGGAGCCGATTTTTTCCCAAGTATTTAGCAAGTTGACACCGTTACAACTCAATACAATCGCCCTCTACGCTTAAAGCCAGAGCTGAAGCTCTTCCGTGGTGACACTTGGTAAAACGATAGTGTGAAAAACTGTTGAGAGACTGTCTTTTAAGCCACTTACAGTACAAATAAATGGCAACGCGCACCAGACTAGCCGGTGCGATCATGCG